TATAGATTATTTATTCAAACCCAGTTGCTTAAGTGATGTGCCCAAGGTACGAATAGTTAGGGTAGACCTGAACAGAACAAGAATTAGAGGTCTTTAAATTCCTGACCTTGATCTTGCCACCCACTATGGTATTTACTCCTTTCTCAGGGGTAAATACCATAGTAACTACCATCAAAATACTTTGAGAAGGAGCTATTATATAAGTGTAGGATGTCTGTGTGTGAGTATAGTGTGTGTATATATATATATGTGTGTATATATATACACACACACACTTAGTATATAGCTCTACATCATATATATTAGTATATATTACTACATATGCTATATTATATAGCAATACAATATATAGCATATATTATAGACTTATGTAATATATTGTATATATACAACAGATGCTATATATAACAGTATACAGGAAAATATACAGTATATAAGAACTATATGTATTGTATAGATCTCCATATTATATAATATATAGTATATACCATTATATATAATATAGCAAATATAACATAGTATATTACATACTGCATATAATATATACTAGATATATAGACATTATATTTGTGTTAATGAAAAACCCTAAGGAAGAAATGAAGTGAGAAGGGAGAGGAAGGAAAAGAAAAATTCAAAAAAGCTGGAGGTAGAACTTTATTTCTATTTCTATGATTTCCAGAGGTTAGAACGCAAGGGCTGTGCTACTGATATTCTGGGGTAGCTTTGATTTTTGTAAAAGAGCATAATAATCTCTACCATAGTTGGTTTCTCAATACAAATGAATGAATTGATCAATCAATCAATCAACATTTCTGTGTGGACTCGATGCAATTTCTGTGCCTCCTGGACCCACCATGAAATCGATTGTCTTATGCTTTGTTTTTTTAGTAACAATTTTATCTAGTCATCCTTAGGTGAGTTGTGAGACTCTGGGGTGTTGATTCTCAGTAACAAAACTTTAACTCATGAGGCAGAAAGTCAATTTGATAAATTATATTTAGGACATCAGTGGAAGGGTTACCAGAATACTTGGTGTTTTCTAAGAATATTTCCAGGGGAAAGAATACCAACAGGGCTGGGGATGTGGCTCAAGCGGTAGCGCGCTCACCTGGCATGTTCGGGGTGCTGGGTTCGAACCTCAGCACCACATAAAAAAATAAAATAAAGATGTTGTGTCCACCAAAAACTAAAAAATAAATATTAAAAAATTCTCTCTCTCTCTATTAAAAAAAAAAGAATACCAACATATGAAGATAGTTTGATGAAAAAGATTCAGGGCTTTGGGGGTTGGGGTTGTGGCTCAATGGAAGAGTGCTTGCCTAGCAGGCATGAGGCACTGAGTTTGATCCTCAGCACCACATAAAAATAAAATACTGTGCCCACTAAAACTAAAAAATGAATATTGAAAAAAATAAAAATAGAGATTCAGGGCTTGAAAAAAATATATATAGGCCACTTAGATGTAGCTAAACAAGATAAAGTAGGACTGAGGTGAGGAGGAGGCAGATGTCATTGAGGGTTAGATCATGAAAAGTAACTAGTAATCCATATCAGAGTTACTTGAAGCCTTACATCCAACTATAGAGAAAGTATTATTCTCTAATATTTTGGTATTTCACAATGCAGATTCTGTGACAATAAAGCTGAGCAGGAGCAGGGCCATGGCACCTTGGGCAAAATACAGAGCAGGAACTTGGGCTCCTGGTAGACACAAAGGATGAGAACAGGAACCATGCATTATTAACTAGAAACAATTATCTTCAATGGCCAGGACAGGAACAAGCCTGAGGGGTACATTTTGTCTAAAGAGAGGAATGAGGGTGAGGGGTGGTAAGAAACAACATGAGCAGCAGCTTCGGGGCCAGGAAGCCTTATAAGGCTCAGGGTATCCAGTGCAGGACTCCAGTCTTGAAAGAACCCACTCCCTGGATAAATAAAGTAAAACCTATAGTTCTCTACCAAGGTGATGCCAATCTAGGCAGTCTTTGGCATTGCTCAAAATCCATATTGTTCAATAGAAATATAATGCAAACCAAATATGAAACCTTTGTAGTATCTTTATTTTTAAAAGTAAAAAGAAGCAGGGGAAGTTAATTTTGATAATTATTTTATTAGACCAATATATCCAAATATTATTTCAGCATGTGACTCTACATTTCAAGTGGTCTAAAGCCATAAGTGGCTTGTGGCTACCATATCATACACCAAAGCACTGGACCACACAAAAGGCAAGATAACAAGATCTACTAATGGGCTTGTATTTTCAAAGTTACTGAGGGCTTGTTACTGTAACATCTCCAGTTATAATTTTGAGGAATACAGTTTACAGTTTACTACCTTAAAGAACAATGCCTTCATCCTAGGTTTAGTTCTGGCCTCTACCCATTAATTGTGTTAAGCAAATTGCTTAATCTCTTTGAGTCTTACTTTTCTAATCAGTCACAAGAGCAAAATAAATGCCCTTCCAGTAGATAACCACATTCTATTTTTTTATTGCTTTCTTATGGGGAATTGTCTAGTGTTCAGGTCTCATCTCTTGATGACTTTAATTATTTCCTTAATACAACACTGTCATTTCTTAGCACACTCACAGGCCTGAGAAAGAGTAGATGCAACCACTCTGATCTCTTTTTTCCTCCAAATTCTTCTGTAAGCACAAAGTATTCAGTAGACCTGCTTCTTTGATTTGGTGGTACGTGGGAGACCAACCTTACTCGTGACTGAGTCACACTCCCGGGCTGGGTGCTGAGGCGCTCAGTCACAGAAATGTGGCAGAGCTTTTCCCACCCTTCATGGGTTCCAGGGTGGGTGTCTCGTGCATGGGTGTGTCTTGTTATAGCCCCATGGGTGAAGCTATGCTCATCTGTTCCTTTGTAATATAACCCCTTGCCCTGTTTAGGATAGAATCTTCCATGGAAGTGCCTTGTGTGTGTCCCCTTCTCTTACTGTGCTCTTGGGTGTGGCCTACCCAGGTGTCAGTCAACCTGCTGACAATGAACATCATGAAGATAGACTCAGCCCCCTGAAATCTGACCCCTTGCCTCATTTGAATAGCTTCTCCTCAATAAAAGGGGTCAGCGCCGTGCTCTAGCTCTGTCTTCCTGCAGACCCTTAAGGTCAGAGGAACCGTCACAGCGACCCCAAAGAAAAAGGTATTGTGTCTCTTGTTTAGTTATTTTGTGCAGCCCAGTTAGCCCAGTTTAACTGGAATGACCCCTGAGCCTTTTTGTCACAACAGAAACCCAGTAGTGGTATATTCTTTTCCTGTTCCTTATTAGTTTTCAATATAAATTGTAATAGCACCAGATTACAGATGGCCCAGGCCCTGAGTGCTAACTCAAAATATAGATTAGATGCTGTCCCTCAAGAAATCTGACTAGGATTATCATTGAGCCCTACTCCATAGAACCTTCCAGTTTACTGCTTTTCACCTCCAGATTCTATAGTCCTTGGACCTAAAGAAAAGGGAGCAGGTCCATAGGTTTACTGAAATTTTCTGTGGAGCAAAATACAATTGTCCTTGATTATCACTGATATTTCTTTCACAAAATGCTAATACAGAGAATGTATATTATTATCCACTGTGTTAACATTTAGTGGTTTATATGTATGAGCAAGTTGTTTCTGCAACTAGATTATAAACTTCTTGAACGCACAGATCAGGCTTCTAATGAAGATTAAACCTCCTCCCAAAGTCACTATATCTTCTACAGTGCTGTGCTGGAGATGTTACAGGAGGGGCTCAGGCAAAAATCATAATTGCCTAATGACACATGGTGGTGCTTTCTGATCTATAGAAACTAGTTGATAGGAACAAATGAATACAGGTGCCTGAACCATTAGTGTCTGGGCTTCTCAGCAAGACTCATCAAATTCTGCAATGCCTTCCTCTGGCATACTCCCAGCCTTGGAGGCAACCACCTGGCATATTTCCAGGTCTGCAGAGACACTTTAGTCCATTTCCGGTTACTGCTTGAGTTGGCACAGGTAAGGTTCTATAGCCACACACAATCCCACATAATCCAATTCCCCTTCCATAGACAATTTTCCTAGGGGTACATGAAGGATCACCCATAATCATACTGCTGAATCACAGCCAGTACAAATCCCAGATCTGCTTCCCAACCTGTTTCCCTTTTTTCCATGATACACATTACTCATTGCAAGGGGACATACCTCCTTCAGGTGTCTTGAAGAACAACAACAACAAAAAAAACCCAAGATCCCAAGTGGTTATTCTCCAAATACAGATCGAATTATTTTAACTATAAGTCAGGAGGTAAAGAGGATAGTGGAGGATAAGTGGGTGAGGGCAGAAATAGATAGGTGAGTGACTATCCTGCTTTCAAAATTCAAGCTGCCACATCAGATATTCACGCCACTAAAGAAAAGTCCCTGCAGGGGGCAGTTTGGTTTGACTAGGCCAGGAGTGCCGGGAGATGGAGAAACTTGCAGGGTCCCACCACAGTTCCTGCACTTACCACCATCAACACTTTAGGGGTGGGGCCCTTAATTTCCCGCGGGAGGCTGCCGAACTGCTGGCTGTACATTTTCCCCTCCGTTGGTAGGCGGTGGGCAACCACCGTAACCTTCCAGACCGGCTTCCGCAACGCAGAGATCTGGTTGCTATGGTGCACCTCGAGGGGTGCGGGTGGATCCAGCGGAAGTCAGTCTGGTAGCCATGGGGGCCACAGACGCTGGCACACAGGACTTCCTCTAACAGCCCAGGATCCGAGTCAGCAAGTCGTCATCCCGCCCAGGCCAGACCTCCCAACAGGCTCTTTCCCACGTCTAGGCTCAGCGGAAATGGCAGGGGGTGGGGATAGCTCTCTAACTCAAGGGAAGTCGAAGGTCTAATTACAATTCCAGTTGCTGTTTGTAGACTAACAGGCCTAAAAGGATGGGAAAGGTTAGTGCACATTCTATGGGAAGGTTAAATTTTGAATCGTCTACAGGTTATTTTTGGTAATGGCGATATTAATCATCACAGGACCATCTTATATTTGTGTAGCTTTTTGTTTTTTTACAATTTGCAAGGTATTTTTACAGATACAACCTTGGAGCTTGACAAATATCTTACAGAGTTGACAGAACAGCAGATATTATCCTCATTTAGAGCGTAGTGGATTAAGGCTCAGGGAGCCAAAGTGCTTTATCAAACTACCCAACCAGTAATAATAATCTGTTAATAAAATTTTCCTACTGCACTGGGCAGAAACCAGGGTTTACACTTAGGATTTTCTTAGGAAGGGGGGCAGATCAAATGAGCTGGTGGGGCAGTGGCATTACCTGGCTGGGCAAAAAAAAGACCAAAAAGAGTCTGAATCAAGGAATCACAGTGGACCTGGGTCAGGATGCAAATTCAGAAGTCCAGGTGATCATTTCCTGAGAATCAGGATCCCTGGCAGAACTGCAACACAGATCAGGAACTGGATCTGGCAGAGACCTCAGCACAGGTAGAAGCCACATTTGTATTTCCCCTCAAGAGCATGAAGGTAGTTAATACATAAAAGCCAATTAAGAATGACTCTTTGGCATTCCCATTCTAAAGTGAGGTTGAGCATAGAACACCAGAGCAAGTAGGGAAAAACCAGTAACTACGCCAGTTATGAAGGTATACCAGTAACCAAAGTACAAACTGTGTATACTTTCTTAAGGCCGCAGTATACTGTAAATTAGCATTCCTTAATCATTTGTAGTTCACCCACTTCGGTTTTCTATGTGGTACATTTCTAGATTTGAATTCCATATCCTGAATTGCTGGTTCAGCTTTTCAGCCACAAAATAATGTCTTTCTTCTCTTTTAATAATCTTTTAATAATTCATTTTTCTCCTATAATGCTTCTTCTTTCAATTGCAGTTCCGTAAAATACTCATTTTCATTTACTGCTAAGAGTTTACGTAGCCTGAAACAAACAAAAAAGAAAGAAATTAGGAAGTCTACTGGATTCACTGGAAGACGTCCTGGGGGGCGGATCCTTGATCTTTAAGTCTCCCAGGCACTGACTGGCCTGTAGGGGTGGGTCTGAGGGGAACCTCCCCAGCCCATATACCCTCAGAGAAGTGAGGCAATGAAAATGCTGTGCCCTCCATCCTCTCGGGGTTTGGGAAAGGCCACTGAGATTGGGCTGCCAGTTGGGTGCTCTCGAGGTTGTGCAGCCCAGAGGGTCCCGATGAGTTCTTGGAGGCGACAGACAGGGAAGCCAATTGATGCTGACAGGCGGCTGCCCTCAGATGTCTCAGCGCTGGTTCCTGAGTTGACCGTGCAGCACCCTCACCCTGGATGAGCCTGGTTATTTAACTCCAGTTCGATTTTAGTCCTTTACCTCTTCGAAAGGGGTAGTTGCTTCCCTCCAGGCCCTGTCCAGGGGGAGGCATTTGTGGTAAGTCTCACCCTAAGGAGGGACTGACTGCTGGCAGGCTCCCTCGCCCTGAGGAGATTGGAGGGCTGGGCCCATGTGCGTATCAGCAGCAAAAGCGCCTCAGCCTTTAGCCACCAACCACCCTGTGAGGCCTAGAAAATGATGCATCTTGGGGGTCCTTGGATAGAACTGACTTTGATCCTGCCATCCACTAACCAAGTTTCTTTGAGGCAATCACTGCTATCACCATCAAGTCACTCCCCAAAGAAACACTAAGCATATAAATCTATAAAGAGGACAATAAAAATCTCCTTAAAAATAATTCAAAAATAGAACAGTTAGAGAACAGTTACTTAATTGTTTCCAATTTCTACGGTGCCCAACAATCTTTACCCAAAGGTTGGCCTCCCCTTAGTTTCTTAAATTTTACATTTTCAGCATTAAATTCTATGATAAATTTGGAAATCCATTCACCACTTGTAATATATATATTGATGCATTTAATAAAACTGCATGGACCATATCTTTTCTCATTTCTGTATCCCAGTATTAAATACAGTGCCTACTTTGGGCCAGGTTCTTAATACCTGAATGAATGACAAAAATAGCTGAAGACCAGCAAGTTTGTTCTGGCTTGATAGAATTTGTCTTGAGTTTTGTGTTTTCAGCAGTGTAGTTTTATCAAGTTATCGTCAGTTGAGTAGTGAGACCCTTGGGAGCTGATTCACAGCAGGTTAGCTTTGCAACGCATCATCTTGGCTGCTTCCCAGAACTCCCTTCCCTTCTGGTTAGGATGGCCACATGAGGCATTCTGGCTGATAACTGAAGGGCAGAAGTGAAGCAGTAACATAGTTTACAGCTGGAAGGCTGGTGCAGGGGCACCAAAGTGCTGTTGCTGTTCACACATGCTGTCACTTATCTGCAGGCTCACCTCCTTGGTGTGGGGCAGCCCTGAGGCTTGCAGCCAGGTCTGCAGCTGCTACACCTTCCCTGAGATCTTCCTTCAGCCTCTCTAATCCTGAGCCAGGTGCACATTTAACTCTGTGAGGAAGGGCACCAACTTCTTCTGCAGGACACCCACATCACTGAAGCAGGAGGTGATGAGAGACTGACATAGGTTCCAGGCAATCCATGTGGGTCCCAGCTTGTGCTCATGGGCTCCAATGTGTCCTCCGTCTCCCACACTTTACATCCATCTTCCCTTCCCAACTGCCTGCCCTGCAGACTTTAAGCTCCAGCATTAGATGCAAAGAAAACAGCCTTACAGAGACTGTTTAACCAGCTCCCACAATTATGTGAAGTCCAATCCCTCTAATAAATCCCTTAAAATATACATTATACATCATCTGTTTCTTGGTGGTCATGGTAATCACACTCTTCACTTATGAGTCAGAATGCCAATTAAATAAATTTCCCTTAGAACATCACTTGTCAGAATTATAGACTTACTAGGGTTCCCTAGCAGGAATAAAGCAGTATTAGATTACCTATTCTTGGCTATAGCTGAACTAGGTAGAGCAGGGCAAAGAATAGGAGAGTGTTAAGAGAGTTGAATCTTGTGAATTAGAAGTGGGAAATGACCAATCTAAAGCACAATTACCTAAAGTTGCAGGGCTAGAACTAGAGTAGGCAAGGGAGGCACTCCCTGAGTCCTGGCCATGTAAAACTAAGTAACAAATTATATATCAAATCTTTTTGGCATTTCATGGATGAAGCATTAGAGTGAGGTAAGGCTGAGCCAGGCTGACCCTTGGGCAGAATTCAAAGCAGGAATTCAGCCTCCTGGAAGACATTTGGGCCAAGGACAGGAACCAAGCACAAAGGTCATCAGAGGGCAGATGTACAGTGTCAGGAAAGATGAGCCAGGCTGGCAGCTTTAGTTCCAAAGAATGCTCTGACTGAGGAGGGGCAGTTAGGGTAACAACTAAATAGACAGTAGCCAATGGGAAGGGACACCCTTTAGGGTTTGAAGAATCCTATGCAGCATCCAGGGCCTATGGATAACCCAGATTCTGGATGAACAGGTGCTCTGAAAAGATCATCCTGTCCACATAATAGAGCCTTAGAACTCCCTAAACCATGCTAAAGGCAGGAGTGTAAAGGATTTATTATAGTATTAATAGCAATCCACTATATCTTCATTGTCACTGGAAACTATTACTGCAGTATTACACATTATTGCACATAGGATTGCAGTTAACAGTTTAGTGGCTTGAAGAACAAAGTTTTACAGCCTGGGTATAATTCTAGGTTCTAGCAACACTAGATTTTGACAATGTGTAAGTTCATATCTTTTGAATCTCAATTTTCTCATTGGCAGAAGTGCACAAAATCGATGTCTTCTTAGACTGTTTTGAGGATTAAATAAATGGGTCCATAGGAGGAGTTCACCAAACAGCGGTTCCTTTCCTTTTTTCATTTATTCACATTGCATTTTCAATTGCTGTCTCCCTGAGAAAATGTTTAGAGACACTGCTGTCTCATCCAGAAGCCACTTAAAATTGTTTATGAAGATGACTTGTTTAGGTTCTTTGTGGTGGCTTTAATTACATTCCCTTCCTCATCCCAGCTCCCCCACCCCTAACACCCAACTTCTCATCATCCTCAGACCCGGGAGCAGATGCATCAACTTTCTCCCCTGACTTTCTCCTCCTTTGGGGCTTGTTTCCTCTAAGCTCCAAGTAGGAAGTAGGCCTGCTCCTTGGGTTTGCTGGTAGGTTTTCCTCCTACAGTTGATCCACATACAAGCCCTGCAACCAGTCTAGCCCCTTCCAGCCCCTGGTAGATCAGGGTTGTCTCTCACAAAGCCGGTCTGCATGTATCACCTTGAGTCCTACAGTCTGCAGAAGCCTCCAGTCTACTGCTTTCTAGCTCCAGGTTTTTTAAGGTCCTTGGACCTAGAGAAGAGGGAGCAGTTCTGTATGTTGAATAAGGTTTTCTATGTGCAAGATGGAGCATCACAAAACCATTTCCTACCATTCTGCATCCTCCACCCACTTTCCCTTAATCATCCTATACCTCTTTCTTTCTTCTACAAACCACCAATACTGACAGCCCAACACCTACCCTGTAGCATGTAATGATTTCATCATGCACAGGGAATGATAAGCTCCCTGCAGGTAGGGATCTTGTCTCTTCTGAAGGGCAAGCCTTACAGGGCTCAGTGTAATTAGAGTAGGATCTCTCTACACTACTATACACCCAGCAGGGGCTCAGTTAGTACCTCTCTCCCAGGTACAGATGGATCTGGTTTATAGGAACAGGGGAATCCAGTGCTTGAACTGGATTCTGTTGCCTGTGTCTGGGGGTTCTGTGCAGGGCCTGTCAACCTTCTGTAGGAGGCAGCATGGCATGGTCCTCCTTCAGCCACCCCAGTTCTTATAGGAACCTACCCTTCATCCTATTGCCAGGTCTAAAGGGAATTTTGTTCAGCAGCTGAAACAGTAATCTCAACAAGAAAGGCTCAAGGGAGGTAGCCTGAGCCCTTCTATAGAGGCTACTCCAGGAGGCACAAGACAAGCCAGAGGTCACACAACTGAGTGTGAACCCAGCTCACAGACCCAGATCAGGACCCAGAGCCTCTACCAACCTCAATGCCCAGGATAGCCCAATGTCATTTCTGTGATATATGCTCGTTCTCATCTTTAGGAGACAGCCTACCAAGGGGTCTCTGGGAGATTCCAAAGGCTGTTTTTCTGAATAAGAGTTTATATATCAAGTCTGACCCCTACAGAATTTTCTTAAAGAGGTAGGCACCAGACTCTCCTAATCTTTCTTTTTTTTTTCAATCTCATCACATGGCATCAGGTCTTCTCCCCCTCCCACCAAAGTAGACCCTGACTTGGAACACTACTGGGCCGAGACTCTGGAAAAAGTTCTAGGGTATTGCACAAACCCTGTCACCTGACCAGTAGTGAACAGTTTAGTGAGTGTGGGTCTTCTTCTCCTTCTGTACCCAAATTGCTGGCTCTACTTTCAAAACTCAGGGTCCATACCTGGCAGGCACCCTCCCCATCCCCACCCCTCACTGTGTGGGGCACACCTTGGCAACCAGACTGCTGTGTCCCGGAAGCGGGTTCCACCCAGGCTGAAAATCTCCGTGATCTAGGGAAGAATTAACATCATGGGTCAACATGGCTGGAGGGGCTAAGACAAGGTCAGGGCAAGATAGGGCATCCCCCAGCACTGACCACGGGCGTGCCAGGCCCTCCTGCCACCTCCTCCTCTGGGGCCGATTCGGAGACACAGCCATCCTTGTTCTCCTCCTTTCCCTCCTCAGGGTCAGGTGGCTCTTGCTTCACTGGTGGCAGGCACAGGTCTATTGCCTGAGAGAAGCAGGGGAAGGGCAGCGGTTAGAAGGATAGGGTTGGCCTAAGGAAAGTCTGTCAGCCAAATGGTCACTTGTTGACAGATCCCACTTCCATCATAGTTCAGCACAGAAATGCCACCTTTCTGCCTACAAATCTTTCCCATTCTTCACTAGCCTTCATTTTCCTGTTAATTGAACTAAAGTGGGTATCTAGTTGCACCTACCCTGCTCACAGTGCCACCATCATGGCTCACCACTACTCTGCTTATAGACCATCCCACTATGGCACCAAAAGAACACCCATCACTGTTCCCACCTTGCTAGGGCAGCCAGGTTGCAATGTGGGAGAAGTCAGGACAGCTATATCCGATGTCCACTCTTCCTGGGCATCTGCTTTCTCTTGCTTTACCTGAGGTAAGGCCACAACCCAACTCAGGCCAGAGCACTGGGCTTCCTGCATGAGGGAGGATGGTGGCAGACTTGGTCTTAGCACCCTGATATCAGGCTGAGTGGGATAGTAAAGGGAGGATAAGATAGGACTCTCACCTGCAATGGGGCTTCTGTGGAAGCTGTAGCAGGGCCAGGCACCTGCACAGGACTGCTGGCACCCTCCCGTAAAAACACAAGGTCAGTGCCAGGAGGGGGTAGTACAAAGCTAGCACCTGCTTCCTGTTTCATTGGAGGCTGAGCACGGCCTAGTCGGGCTGTGCGAGTAGCCAAAGGGGGCTTCAGGGTGGGGGCCAGGTGGGGCCGTTGAACAGAACCTGGTCTCTTTCGACGAGGGTGAAGTAGAGGTGATCCTGCCCCCTCCTCGGACTCTGACCCAATACTGGGCAGCAGCCGCTTCTGTAAGAAAAGATGGGAGTACTATGGCCACCTGCTGCCTTGACTGGCCCCACCCACCCTGCACTGTTCAATGTGTATACTAACCTCCCATTAGTCCCAGCACAGAAATCTACTTACATGAGCCCTTATCACTGAGCCTACCAGTTTCCATTAGCAATGCCAGTGCCACCTAGACTCCTACCCCAGCACAAGGTCTGCTAATTCTTTGCCAGAGCCACTGTACCACCCAACCACCTACCAGGCCTGCCCACCACTCTCAGACACTGGGGTGCCTGGCCCAACCTATGCCCTCCACCTAACCCTTCCTCTGCCCCACCCACCATGGCAAACTGCAGGCATTGGCGCCAACGACACTTCTGGCGCTTCTGGTTGCTGCCCCCGAATTTGGGCTTGTCGCAGCAGAAGTCGCAGCGGCCACAGTCCATCCGCCGTAGGCAGGCTGCACAGGCCCCGCACTTGCGGTTCTGCCGGCGGTTCGTGTAGGGCTGCTGGTGGGGGGGAATGGTGGTGCTGTCACTAGGACTAGGAGAGGCCATCCTCAACACCCATTCCACTACTATTTCTGGTGTTCTTTTAGCTCTATCAAGGGAACCAGCTGCACACTAATCTCAACCTGCTGACTTTCCATTTGCCATAAATCAGTGTTTGCAAGTCCAATAACATTAGAACTATGGATGCTCCATCACAGTGCAGCTAGCAACGCTGTCTTTGATTCCTCACTTCCAGCAGACCCCACTGGCTTCAATCACCATGTCAGCTATGTCTGCTCATCCTACATGAACTCCAGTCACTATGCTACCTGCTCCTCTATCAGACCTATCATGGGTGTGCTGGTCCTGCATTAACCACCAAGTGTTGGTTCATCTGACATTAGGCACTCTCACTGCACCTGCTGATCCCAGGTCATTCCTCCCCTCCATTATTGCTCATCCCATCCTGGTACCCATCTCCTTCCTTGGGTTAACCAAGCATCTTGAGAGTCTAGGCTTATCCAGGTAGGGTAGGGCCACTCACTAGCTCGTCCTCGTCTACACAGTAATAGATGAACTCAGCAGGAGGTGAGGGCACCGGGGAGTTGTTGTGCTGCAGAGGCAAATGGGGTGAGGTCAGGGTAGGTACTGGGAAAAGGTGAAGGTTGTGCTTTCCCCTGCCCACTGAAATCTTACCAGCTCCATGGGCTCTGGGGGTTCTGGAGGCTGCAGTGTGGGAAGAATAGGCACTGGCTGAGCTCGAGAGTGTCGTCGGGCAGTCATCTTGGAGTCACGGCCTCCCCTGTGGCATCTACGTTTACCCTGGGAGACAGCCAAAAGAGTTGATTAGGGCTTAATGGCACCAGGCAAACACAGAATCCCTTAAATTGCAGAAAGCATGCATGGGACAGGTAGAAAGTGTGTGCTGTGGGGCACTCACAGCATGGGGAGTCACCGCTAGGGGGGGTATTACTGACACCGCCAATGATGGCGAAGGTGGCAGTGAGCAAGGTGCTGGCATATAAAGACAGGTAGGTGAGGTCAGGGAGGTGAATGTGGGGTGGGAGGGAAAAGAAAGACATGAGTTAGGCAAGGCCAGGTTGGGAGGAAGCAGCAGCAGCAGTGGCAACTTTTAATAACAGAACGAGCTCTGGCCCGGCCAGGCCAGTGCTGGTCCCTCCAGCCTGACTCACCCGAAGGCAGCGCCGCTGCACACACCTCCACTGGCGCCTGAGACCAGGGCGGGGAGGGCGAAGGCAGACTCGGCAATGGCCACAGTCCTCTTGGGTCTGACAGCCCCGGCACACTCCACACCCTCGGCTCTGTGGGGGGGGGCCGGAGGTGTGATGCATGGGGTCAGGGCTATGAGGGCCAGGGGCTGGGGTGAGCCTTGGGCCCACCCCACCTGCCCAACTCACCCTCTGCACAATCCGGAGGCAGCGTCTCCTCTCACACTTGCAGAACAGCCCTGAGGCCACATCATGGGGTAGCTGCAGGAGGCAGGTGGAGCAGGCCCCACAGTCTTCAGTTACCCGACAGGCTGTGCACTCTCCACAGCCCACACGCTGCCAGAAATGGTGAAGTGAGGTTACAGGCCTAAGTAGGGTGGCTCCAAGCCCCCTGCTCTCCCATGTCTGCTGATCTGACACTAGCTCCCATCACTATCATTAACCTCATCACTATTATCTAATAAATACAGATTAGCTGCCCATACTGAAACCACTACTATGTCTACTGGTTCCCTGTTGATTTCATCACAATATCTATTGACAGATACCCCAATTAATTCCCATCACTGAGTTGGTAACCAATCCATGGAGAGTTCCCTATAAAAGGATTCCTGCACCCTATGGCTCTATGACTGACCCATCACAACATCCACCAGCTTCATCACATCTTGGTCCTACTGCAGGGTTGTGAAGAGGAAGCACATGTACTTACCTTAAACATTCTCTGCTCGCGATTGAAGGCAATTCTCTGTGCTGGGGGATAGGGAGAGAGAGAAATGGGAAGGGAGCAACTGACACCTGGCCTTACCCACCACCTCAGCCCTGACTTCCATATTCAACTTGTACCCATGCTTCATACTTCCAACATCCAACCTCCACCCATGCCAGTAGTCTCCTCAACTTCCAGCCTAGCCTGACACTGGTCCTGTCCTGGCTCATGTTTTTTATGTCCCATCCTAGAGGGCCACTCACCTCGGCAGTCTTTGCACAATGTCTTGAGCCGCTGCCTTCCAGAACCATCCCCTGAGAAGCTGATTCCACAGTTCTCACAGCACCTGCAATGGAAAAGACAGATATGGGGCCTTAACAGTACCATCACAAATCTCTCCCATCTGGTTCACTTTAGGCCAATACTCACCCAGGTGCAGGGAATGAAGCTGGGATTGTGTCAGTATCAGCCTTGGTCTCATCCTCTTGGGTCTCTTTCCTCTCCTTTCTCTCCTTCCTGACCTCAGTCCTCTGGGGTGCAACCTGACGTTTCCGAGTTTTGGCGGATCTTGCAGGCTTTTTCCGCTTCTTGCTGGGGACAGCCACAGATTGGACCTGAAGATGAGTGAGGGCACGAGGAATGTGGATCAGTGCATGGGTGTCAGGTGGCACAGTTACCCTTGCCTGGATTCATTGTGAAGTACCTTGGGGGTTGGATAGCACAAGATGCCTTGTTTGAAGTCGAAGAGGGTGAGGTCACATGCAGGGCCCAGGTATCGAGTCAGCTCAACTTTGCTTCGGATCCTGTCTCCTGTGGGGCTGAGGATGGGCCAGGATGAGTTGGCACCAAGGTGAAGCCAATGTAGTTCCACCCAGCTCACCCTCCTATAAGGCTAGTGGGATTCAAGAGGCACCCTGGAATTGGCCTGTGAGCCCCATCCAGATCCCACCCCAACCAACTGTGAGTAAAGGAACAGATGAATAAAAATATCAGCATGTTTACAAACATTAATAAATACTACAGTCATGAGCTAATATAATGACGTTTCAGTCCACAGCAGATTGTACACTGTAAGGTGATCCAATAAAGATTATAATAGAGCTGAAAAATCTATTGCCTAGTGACATCATGGCCATTGTAATGTCAAGCAAAACACATTACTCATTTTTATGGTGATGCTGATGTAAACAAATCTACAGCACTGCCAGTTGTATAGCCCATATAATTACATACAGTATGTACTACTTAATAAATATACTTAATAAATGACTACTCCTGGTTTATGTACTTGCTATTTTTGTGTGTGGTAGTGGGATTGAACCCAGGATTTCACTTGCTAGGAAAGCACTCTACCATTGAGCTATATCCCCAGCCCCTTTGCTGCACATTTTATCATTATTTTAGAGTGCATTCCTACTTTTTTAGTTTGCTTTAAAACAGTACACCATGTGGGGAGAGCAGCAGCCTCATCTCTCACATTTGCTACATTTCTCAATTTCATCATTTTCTCTTGTGTTTGATTTGATCTCATTTTATCATAGCCTTAGGAGCAACAGGATTCAGCATACATAGTTATGCACTGCACAAGGATCAACTGCAAACAGCATATATAAATATCATCCCATAGACTATATTGCATGGTGAGGCACAGTGGTGCATTCCTACATAATCCCAGTTACTCAGGAGGCTGGGTCAGGAGGATCTCAAGTCCAAGGCCAGTCTCAGCAACTTAGCAAGACCCTGTTTCAAAATAAAATAAAAAAGGTTGGTAATGCAGCTCTTTAGTAGAGTACTTGTGCTGGCATGTATGAGCCTCTAGGTTCAATCCCCAGTCCTCTTCCCTGTGGGAAGGTTTGAGGGGGGATAACCTAGTTTATAGAAGTACATTCCATAAGGTTCACATGATGAAATCTTCTAATATCACATTTCTCAGAACACACTCCTCAGCCTAGGCATGTAGAGGTTATACAATCTAAATTTGTGAAAACTGTACTCCATGAGGTTTGTGTAATAAAATCACCTAATGATGCATTTCTCCTAATGTATTCCCATCACTAACACAACTGTATAAAACACAGACACATGGCACTAATGGTATTGAAAATACTTTTTATGGGCTGGGGATGTGGCTCAAGCGGTAGCGCACTCGCCTGGCATGCGTGCGGCCCGGGTTCGATTCTCAGCACCACATACAAACAAAGATGTTGAGTCTGCCGATAAATAATAAATATTAAAATTCTCTCTCCCCCTCTCTCTTTAAAAAAAATTCTTAAAAAAAAATACTTTTTATGAGTAAAAATTAACACAAATAAGAACACAAATACATAACATGTAAATATTTAAGTATTATATGCCAAATGCATAATCAAGCAAAGAAAATTCTAACAGAAATGTTTAAAAAGCACATGAAGGACTGGGGCTGGGGCTCAACGGTAGTGCACTTGCCTGTGTGAGGCACTGGGTTTAATTCTCAGCACCACATATAAATAAATAAAATAAAGGTCTATCAACAACTAAAAAAAATATTTTTAAAAAAGCACATAAAAATATTAACTACATCCAGGTGCAGTGACACACGAATCAGAATTTTGAAAAAGGAGGATTCTAAGTTCGAGGCCAGCCTTAGGAACTTAACAAACCAGCAAGACCCTGTCTCAAAATTTAAAAAGTTTAAAAGGCTTGGGATGTAGCTTAGTAGTAAAGCACCCCTGGGTTCAATCCCCAGTACAAAAAAAAAAAAAAACTATACATAAAATATAAAGTGCCAAGTAGTTGATGCTGAGATACTGAAAGGTTACTCCATGAGTCTCCATTTCTGCATGTCTCATAAGAGGCATCAGTTGTCCTTTATAATAAACTATTTTTTCAAGGATGTTTCTAAGACAGACCTTGGAAGATAAGACAGGGTCTCCTTCTGGAGGAAGAGGAAAGCATATTGTCTTAATATTATAAGCTCAGGGTTTCTTTTCTATAATACAACCCACTGACATGCAGTGCATATGCTATTTAGCCCTCTTCATTCACTGTGGGAATTGGGATTCAGGGAACTTGCACTGGATCCTGTTGCTGATATAATAAATTCTTTCATTTCTGACCCAGGAGTCTCATATTTCCTATCAGCATTCATTCACTTGTTATCTTATCCAAAGTAGGGTAAAATCTTGGATCTCTTATAATTCCTGACAATTAAATTTTAAGTTTTGAGAGGTTAATACGAGTATATAAATATGTGAAAAAATTAGAACTAAACATAAAAAGATAGAAATCATATTTGCAGTTTTACTATTTTCCTCTAGGGAAAGGTAAACTTTAATACAAAAAGAAAATTAGAGTAAAAAGCTTAGTTAACTGTATTGTTAATAATTCTAAAACATATGTAAAAGGTTTATAAACATCTGTATATGTAATTACGTCAATTCTCATTATTCCTGGTAGTTATGTTCTATAAAACTGCCAAGAACCCAGAATTAATAAGAAAACACTGGTCCGTGGGACAAATACAGGGTTAGGGTCCAGCAAGTCTTTGGCCTCATTTTTATTCAATGATCAAAATATAATCCTTTTTAATGTGTTTCTGTTTAAAGACACCTTATTTTTCTTACAAATTATTGCTTAGGTTTTGAATGTCTCAAAGCCAGGGGATTTAGAGGCTGTTTTCATCACACAGATTGGCTTACCACTGTTCCATCAAAACAAATCAGTCTCACTGGCATTAAAAACCTTCTTCTATATAAACCTTTTCTCATATAACACTTTGTAAGTATTTTCCAGATCCCCCCCCAACTCCTCATCTGTAGCTCCTGCACTACATGCAATTTAAACAATTTTCATACCATATCAATAATCTTTTAAAATGTGTAAGCCAACCAGCACTAGCTGAGATGGGTTTATATTTTCCCAATGCTGGATAACGTATCTTTCTGGTGTTTCTTATAACAGTGCTGTTCACTATGCTTTATTGCTCATCATTTCATGGATTCACAGATTTAGCTGCTTTCCTAAATCTTTTCCACAGCTTCATTAGGTACCACAAATGTTACTTTTTTTACTTCCCAATGTGTCCTCACATACAAGTTTCCTCTTCTTTTTCTGGATGTACGGTATATGTTTATACAGTATTTCGGGTCCATAACATTGAAGTCACAGATAACAACATTTTTAATTCATGCCTGAAGGAAGCTTATCTGACACGTATTTTCTGGGCAAAGCACATCACAGCCTTCTTGCACTCAACACTAGACCGTACTTCAGCACTATATATTCAGGCTTTATTTTAAACAGTTAAACCACCAACAAAATAGCATGAAAATGGGAAAAAATATGGCACTAAATAGACCACGAAAAGGAATGCTTGTTTACAATATGGAAGCTGAAACAGAAAGGCCTTGTTCAACCTTGGCTGGGAACATGTGCATTGGATGACTCAAATTTTTCACTGCTCTGTGAATGTCTGTGAATAACCACGAAAGCACCGTATTGACTTTGGTCAAATAAATTTTATTAAATAGGTGAATTTGCAAATATGAAAACTTTAAATAATAAGGACTGACTATATGTATAATTTAAACTCCACCCACAAAGTTAACCACACCCTTTTACCCTGCCCCTAACCAGGCTTAACCCCACCCAATTCTGACCACAACCCATCTATTACCTCTGGTAATAGGTGTCTGAACGTCCACAGGTGACCCCTGACTTGCGATAGACCTCACGACGTTTCCAGCCAGGGCCCAGGGCTGGGCAGTCCAGCCAGTCTTCAGCCATGGAGGCTTCCAAATGTAGTAGCAGCCTGTAAGGTGTGGGAAGAGGAGGGTATAGGAGAAATCAAGGCTTCAGGAAGGGCAAACTGCCCCAGGCCACACAAATAACTGATATCCTGTAATGCATGCCTGAAACCTAGGACCTGCCACAGCAGATAGTGGCACACACATATGAGAAGAGAAAATCCTCCATTCTCACCCTTCTTCCCTGTCCTGGGCCCAAGAGCTCCTCATTCCTCCTATTCCTTGACTTGCTAGCCTCCACTGCTCTCAATCTTCAGTGAACTGATTCCCTACTTCTCTTCATCTTCAAACTGAAAGCACATCATTTCATTCACTGCCTATAAGGTCCCTGCTTAGCATCAAGACAGCCATCTTAAGTGACAGCCTCCATTTTAAGGAAAAAGTTTCGCTTTCTTGTCCAAGGGTATTTCTGAGAAAGGCTCACAACTCCCCCATAGCAACCAACCCCTAACCACCCACATTAGGACCCGCCCAGCTCTGATTTCTGAGCCTGCCCCATAAAAGTCCTGGAAATCAAGCCTGTTTTGCCTCTCTCCACTATAGAGAGATGGCCTTTATTCCGTCAGCTCTGACAAACTCTTGTGTGTATCTCTGCCTGGTCTCTGTCTTTCATTTCTTGCTTACCTGTCTCTCGTTCCTCAATTTCCCTTCATTTTGGTGCCAAAACCTAGAATTGGTTCCCCAGTGTGCCCACTCCCCTCTTTGAGGGTCAATGAGCAGCCCCAGGCCTCAATATGAATTCTATTGTGGGACCAGACCCTCCATTCTGCTGAATTGTTCTCCGCACCCACCACCAGACATTCCAGTTAAGACTTCTGTTTCTGGGACCTAAACAAAAATCGTCCCGGGAAATGACCACTAAACATGATGTATTTCCAGAGTTACTGTGTGGTGGGGGGCACCCCTAGCCACACCTTTCACAGATGCAGCTGATCTCTACTGTCTAACGACTCTATAGGTGGTCTTTTATTTGGGTTCTGGGTTTTGAGAAAAAAAACCACCGAGGGCAACTGGGAGTTGTTCTTGGTGAGACTACCTCTCAACCTTGGGTTAATCTCTACAGGCTTCTGCCTCTACTATGTAGTCCTAGCGGGGTGACCAAGTGCCTCTACAGGCTCCTGCCCCAACATTTACCCAGTAATGGTAACAACACCCTGAGCATAACTGTCCTCTTGACTAGGTAATACTAGAGACTGGGGGATGCTCCTCCTCTAAACTCATCTCCTGCGTCTCACCATAGGCAGCTCCTCCTCAACCATTCCCTCCCATAGTCCCCTAGCTGCTACTTGATTAACCTAAGGTATCTCGCTCTTTCTCCCTCTCTCTCTCCCTGCCCAGACCTAATGTCCCCCCAAATTATCTGTTTGTGTACAAAAAGATCTGGCCTCATTATCCACTGGATAATGACTCTAAATGGCTGCTTAACAGCACTCCAGATCCCAATATTATAAGAGATCTTTTTAACTATTGAGAGCGTCCAGGAAAATTCAACGAGATAACATATATTCAGGCCTTCTCTTCTCTACATTCTAAGCCCTGTCTCTGCAATACTTGCTCTTTTGCACAAGCCCTCTTAGCTCTCACCTCCTCTACTCCTGCCTCCAAAGGGACAGAAAATCCTACCCAGGACTCCTCCCTCTTCAACCCAGTGGATGTGTCCCCACCATACCACAATTCTCTTTCTGATGAAGCTGCCACAGCAAATATCCCCTCGGCCCCTCCACCCTTCACTCCTCCTGCTACATAGGCTGCCAATGCCCAACCTGCATCTCTGTGTCCTGTCCACAAGAGGGCTGGGGAAGACGGTGTAATCTGGATTTCTCTCCGTCAGATCTTTCACAGATAGAAAAGTGGCTTGGGTCCTTTGCTTCAAGCCCCACCACATATATCAAAGAGTTCCATATCTGACTCAATCATTTGATTTGACCTTCAATGACGTCCATATGATCTTTTCTAACACCCTCTTGCACGAGGAGCGCAGGCAAGTTTGGGAACAAGCTAGAAACTATGTTGATGAGGTACATCAGACCTTCCCTGCCCACCAGACTGGCACTGAAGCGGTCCCTGATTGGAACCCCAACTGGGATTATAATTCGCCTGGAGGAGTAATTAGTAGAAACCAATTCATTACTTGCCTCATGGCAGGACTTAGAAAGGCAGCCCATAAGGATATCAATTATAAAAACCTCCAGGAAGTCATCCAAGATAAGAATGAAAACCTTCAGCATTTTTAAATCACCTGACTAGGGCTATATTACAATATACTAATCTGGACCCTGAGACTCCAGATGGGAGATAACTACTAATGACCTACTTTTCTCCCAGAGTTCCCCCAATATTAAGGCCAAACTAAGGTACCTCAAAAGGGAGCCCCTAACTTCCCAAGCTGAGGTTCTGGAAGTGGCCTTCAAGGTATATAATGACAGAGACAAGAAGGCCCAGAAGCAGAAATATCAGATGCTCGCTCAAGCCATCAGTCCGGCCTCAGTATCTGTTCCTGGTTCCACTTGCTCACAGAAGGGTCCCTTGGGACTGCTTGGACTGTTTTAAATGTGGTCAGATGGGTCACTGTACTCATATATGTCCCAAGCCTTGCAAGCCTCCAGGCCCTTGTCCTAAATGCCATTAAGAGGGACACTTGGCCATTGACTATCCCTGACTCCTTGGCAGCCCCTGGCCATCGAGCCCTTCTGGTTCCTCTTTCCAACTCTTGGGACTGGCTACAGAAGACTGACGAGTCCCAGGTCCCCATCACCCAACCATTACCATCACTCCAATGGAAACCAGGGTAATTCTGCATATTTCAGGTAGGCCTGTCTCCTTCCTCCTATACACCAGGGCTACATATTCAGTCCTCAAGGAGTTCTGGGGGCCTACTATCAACCCTTACAGACACCTAGCCTTGTTTGCACTTTTGGCTCTCTAATTTTTACCCACTCCTTTTTGGTCATCCCACAGTGCCCTGTTCCCCTTTTGGGAAGGGACATCCTCACAAAGTTGGGGGCTATGCTTTCCTTCTCCCCTCATATATGCTTCCATCCAGACTTGCCAGCTGCTCCCCTGATCCTCACCCTTACCTTAGGACCATCCCCTATTCTGTCTGCCAGTGCTTTCCCATTACCCGCTTCCAAGGTGGACCATACTATCTGGATATTTCAAGTCCAATTGCTTCCTACTACGAGCCCATTCACATAAGGGCTTACATTCCTTACACCCTGTTGCCTTTTATCTCTACAGGTTTCTCTGATGAAAGATCCCATCTTATTTGGAAGGAGAGTGGATTCCTTACCACCAAAGGAACCTCAATTACTAATGCCCCCTTTATCTCTGATCTCCTTCAGGCCTCAAAGTTTCCCACTGCCATCAGCATCTCACATTGTAAAACTCGTAAGACAGACACCTCCTTTGTGAAACTAGACAACAACAATGCAGACTCTGCCCTCCAACAGTGAACTCCACCTTCAGTCCTCTGCCTTGCTAGTTCCCTAATGGATTCTTCACCACCTGACACTCAACAGATACTTACCTTCCTTCAAAACCTCTTTCACCCTAACACCACATCTTTAAAACAATTTCTCACTTTCCACCTTAAACTCTCTCGAGAAGACCTACAAATTCTTTCTACCCTCTCTGCCTCATGTGAAATCTGCCAAAAAAGACAATCCCACCTCCAATCTCTGCCCACCTGCCTTCCCTTTAAACCAGGCAAGAGGACAGCTCCCTTGCTCTGATTGGCAAGTGGATTTCTCCCATATGCCCCCGTCAAGCGGTACCAATTTCTCTTGGTACTCATCAACACCTTCTCGGGATGGGTTGAGACTTTTCCTACCACAGCGTGCTCCCACAGTGGCCAGCATTCTTCCTAGATTGAACACATTCTTCCTCGATTCGGCCTCAACCTCCTTGCTCCAGTCTGATAATCATCCTGAATTTACTTCCCATATTTCAAGGTCTGAGCTAAGGCACTCAACATCTCCTGGCATTTTCATATCTCTTATCATCCTTAGTCCTCTGGAAAGGTGAAACGTACCAACTGAACCTTGAAGAACAGTTTCACTAAATTATCCCTTGAATTACATTTAGATTGGACTAAACTCCTTCCCTTGGCTCTTCTTAGGTTAGGGCCCTCCCAAAGAAGCACTCAACTTCTCCCCTTTTGAGCTTCTATATAGACTGCCTATCTCCCTACTCAGCTCACCAAAATTAGGCAGCCAAGGGCAGCATTCCACCACCACTCAACTTTCATCATCATTTCAATGACATCCTAAGCCCCTACTGACAACTCAAATGCTGCCCCTTCCCAGCAGGAAGCAGTCACAGAAGATTGACATATGTTCCCATTCCCTAAGGGGCCCAATAAACAATAAAAAGGGGGGGAATATAAGGTCCTCGCTTAGCATCTAGGCAGCCATTTTAAGGAAAAAGTTTTGCTTTCCTGCCCAAAGGTGTTTCTGAGAAAGGCTCACCACTCCCGCATACCAACCCAACCCCTAACCACCCGGAACCCAAGCCTGTTTTGCCTCTCTCCACTATAGAGAGATGGCCTTTATTTGTCAGCTCTGACAAATAAACTCTCATATGTATCTCTGCCTGGTCCCATTTTTCATTTCCCTTACCTATCTCTCGTTTTCCTCGGTTTCCCTTCACTGTCAACCCAAGAAACTTATCCCCCACCCCGGTCATCTCTTCCTGTCCTTCCTACAGAAGACACTAGCTGTCTTTCACCTAATAGTCCTTATTCTTCCTCTTATCACCCTAAGACCTGCCCCTAATACTTGCAAAGTTCAGTACAAGAGGTCCCATTTTGCTTGGTTTTAGTCGACTATTTTAGTGTTCTGAACTCCCATTCCCTGCTTCTTTAACCCACAATTTTCCAATTTCTCTTTCACTGTTTTAACTGTTCCTTTTCTTCCCCACATGTGATACTTCTTAGCCTACTATTTCAGAGTTATAACCTTCACCATAGACCTTCCCTGAGACAGACCCCAACGCCACCATATTCTTTCCATTCCTCAGCCTGGAAGCCCCCATGTCTCCCCTTCTTCAGCACAAGAGCTCGGCAAGCCTTATTTCTTTCCTCTCTCAGGGTTCTGACCCATAGTTCCTCCCCAAGCACAAAGAAAAAACCTATGTCTCTCCTCTACAGCCAAAAAGTCATCCCTCTTCCCCTTCAACTTTCTCAACCTCCATTCTTCTCTTATCAGCCTGAGAAATTCTGATTTCTCCCAACACACACATATTCCCCACCTTTGTGTCCAGGATCATGACATCCCTGGTCAGCCTATGACACCGCCCCCCCTTCTTTCTAGTCCTGCATGGAAGTTCTCCTCCTTCCTTTCAGTATTCCAACCCTAACATTTCCTCTTGTCATCTGGCCAAAGGCCCCTTATTTCTTCTTTTCAACGTTCTGAACCCCCATCTCTCTCTCCTTGAGAAGCCCGATATCTCCCCTTAGGCGTTCTGATCTTCCTCATTCTTCTCTTGTCTTCTTTCCCAGGATCCCGACACTCCTGTCAGCATTCTGAGCCATATTTCTTCCCGTCCTCCACCTAAATCCTTCCAGACCTCCCTTTCAATACTCCGGCGCCGCCATTCCTCCACCTCCTCAGCCTGAGGACTTTTCATTCCTCCCCGGCAGGGTTCCGAGCCTCAATTCCTTCCCATTCTCCGCCTGAGCGCTCTCCATTTCCACTCCCACGGCTATCTCACCAGCTTGGCACCAGGCTGGTAGCTTCCGCCGCCCTAGGCCTGAGGACCCATGGTGAGGGTCCCGTCTGCGCGTCCCGCCTGCCCTAATTCCTCTTCCTCCTCCGAAGTAGTCTTCTCGTAAGCAGTAGCTGTCGTCTCCGCGGCCGTTCGCTGCTCCCGGAACCGGAAATCCGCCGCCTGCCTCTCGGGCTCCACCCACGACGTGACACCTGCGCGCTGCCCTGACGGCGCGTGCCCTTAGAGGGGAGACTCCCGCGCCTGCGCACTGAGGCTCCACAGCGGCGCGCGCCTTGTCGAGGATCTGCTGCGCCTGCGTACTGTCTCCAACTGCGTCAAGCGCCCGGGTCAGAGGCTAGAGGGGCCTGCTGTGGCGCCTGCGGTCCTCGCTTCCCCTGCCGGCGCATCTTACCCACGCTGCCCATCCAGGTGGCGCCTGCGCACTCCAGTTCTACCCTACGGGGGGTGCAGTGAACCGCTTGATTTGTGCCTGTGATCTCTTCCACAAGTAGTCCGCTGGGGAGGCGAAGCAACGGTCTGGGTTTGCGCGCTTCCTTATCCTAGGTGACACTTTATTCACCACTCTCCCCGCGAACCTCTGCCCAGGGCTAGAGAGTTCTGCTTTCTCTGCCCCCGCCAACCAGCAGCTCCCTCCGCGGGAACCTGGGAAGGGGGCGGTGGCGCGCTGGGAGGGAGGGTGCGTCTCCCTCCCAAGAGCCACAGTGGGGAGAGCACTGTATGGGGTCCTGGCACAAGCACAAACAGTGGGCTTCTGATGTAAACAGGTCCCCCCAGGAGGGGCTTGGGGGGAGATGGCCTCTGTGCGAGGCTAAACGTGCCTTTGGTCTGCTGAATGTTACTTCCACAGAGGGACAGCCAGTCAGTACTTGGCCACAGGGGATGGCTGTTGACTGGATACTACTGACCCAAGACTACAGGCTGACTGAGTAGGTCTTTGGGCTCAACCCTGGCAGGGCATATTCTCACAGCCCAAGGGAGCATAAAGTGTATGCCAACTGTATACTCACAGCCTACACATGTGCTGCAGCCCAGCCTGAGTACAGACATGCCACCGCCCATCTTATCCAGGGGTTGGGAATGCAGTTGTAACTGGAACACATGGAGACCATCAGGAGTTATCTGCTTGGTTCTTCAAAATTTTATTAACAAAACCAGGGGAGAAGGGAAGCAAGGCTGAGTAGACTCCACAGTCCCACCCAGGCACAGAAAATGGAGAGAGGGAAATTCTGAAACCCTTTAGGCAGTCAAAGGTGGATAGGCACAGGGAGAAAACTCAGGAACAATGGAAGAAACAAATAATGGAGAAATGGACAAAGGGGGATTCGGGGCCACTCTCCCAAATGGAATGCAGGGTGAGGGCTCTGAATCCGTAGGCTCAACGGTAGGCTCAGCGGTCGGCACTGGAGCGCAGGTCGGTAGTGAGTGGGTCATGCTGGATGGTTTGGTGCAGCATCAGGGCCAGTAATCCTGCCCGGTTTGTCATGGCTGTGCGTACATTGCGCTCTTGTTCAAACAGCTCGTCCAACTTGTACCACTGCCAAGTGGGTGGAAGGTGCCATGAGAAGAGGAATCCCAAAGCCCCGCTTGACCCTAGTCACATCCATCATTGAAACCTACCACCCGTACACGCTCCAAGTCCACTTCAGCACGTCGCAGCTTCTCCCAGCAGTAATGGCGATTACACTGGCGCTTCGGCAAGCGGCAGAAATCACCTGTGAGCTCAAAGACATCACGTACAAGGGGGCAACCGCATACCTCATCAGCTGGCACCTGCAGGAACACCAGAGTACAGATGAATAAGGATGGTGAGGAAGAAGGGAGAGTGAAAAGAGGAAGGGGCAGCGATAAGACAAGGAAAGAGAAGAGAATGGATGTTGTCATAGAAAGGAAGAAGGGCAGCTGATGAAGGAAAATATGGAAGTGAGACATTGAGGTAGAAAGGGGCAGAATGGAGGAAACTGAGGAAAAATCTTACTTTGGGATCCCGAGAGTGCTCAGGACATAGCACCTGGAGCCGCTTACAGTATGTTTTGCTCTGAGGATTATAGACATCACAGAAGAGTCTCGTGGCCCTGGTGGTTTATAGTAGAGAGAAGGTAATGGAGAGAGAGAGAAGAAAAGAGGCCCACCTACCCTTGCCCCTGCCCATTTCCTGCCCTGGCTCCACATGTTCTATTTCTGAGCCCACCCTTAATCCGGCCCCAACTCTTCATGGCACCTCACTCACCCTTCAATGCGTGTGGGGTACATGGACCCAAAGGACGTCTGGCTCTCATACTGGAAGGATGAGCACAAATGGAAGGAACTGTGGGTGTGCGCTGCATGCCCTCCCGAGTCACCATCCAAACAACAAATCCATCCCCCATGGGCCCACTCATGTTCCCAAACCATCCATCCCCTTAGGTTGACACCCCAACCTTAGCATAGCAGCGCTCCATGTGGCGCAAGGCAACACGTGGGTTGATGGGGTGCCCACAGGAGACACAGAAGATCTGCAGGTCTGTGTCATCACTGTCGTTCTCATTGCTCTGCGGGATGTGAAAGGAATTATGAGATCAGATGGGACTAGGTACTAAGCCAGCCATGTCCTACTGTATACCCCCTGCATCCTTACCTCTTCATCCTCGCGCACAGCCTGCTGCTTGGCACGAAGAATGATGGCCTCGAGCTCATGGAATCTGCGTTCCATTTCCTGAAGACGAGTGCGGGCACTCTGCTGCTCCCGGCGAATACGTTCAAGCAGCTTTTTGCCATGTTCTTCAGCAATGCAGGGGCTCTGCTGCCACTGCTGAATGCGCTGGGGAAGGATCTCATAGATGCGGCTGCAGGAGGGCAGTGGGTGGGGTACAGGCAGGGAAGATGGCAAACAGGTGGTCAAAGGATAGCAAATGGATGGGTGATAAAATGGTGAAAGGGGAAATAAACAGGTGAATGGCTAATGCTACATGGATGGGCAGAAAGATAGGTTAATGGATGGGCAAATGGGTATATGGATAGGTGTGTGACTGACTGCCCAAATGGTAAAAAGGTACTGGTAGATATACTGAAAATTCTAGTGATGTTCTATTCTGTACTTCTTACCTCCCTCCTCCCACCCCTCCATGCCAGGAAAGACTCACTTGGCAGCCAGTTTCATGCCACAGTCATCTGAGCAATACTTGGAGCCAGGCTGGGCAGCACGCACACAGCCAGGCCCCAGGCACTGCGGTAGTGATGCAGGGTCCTTAACATCAGCTCTCTCTGGGTGTTTCCATTTGTCCTTGTGTTTCTGCTTTTGCCGATGTCTCTTGTATCTCTCCTCCTTCTGAGGTTAAGACAGATCAGGGGGGAATCTAAGTCAGCTTCAGATCCTGTCTCCCCCTCCATTCTAGTCTTTTCTGGCTCTTATCCCACTTATCCCCTTATCTAATATTTCTGCCTCCCCACCCTACCCTCTACCTTCCCACAACCATTTTACCCTCTCCATCACCTTCTTCTCAGACTTCTTCTCCCGACGCTTCACATGCTTCACTTTCACTGCTCTTTTCCGTAGGGCAGGGTCGAGGAATGGGGACTCTTCTGTGTCACTCATCCAGGGCTGCAAGCAGGGCATGCACTGACCCTCTTGCCTCACTCCTGACAGCCCTATCACCTGCTTATTTCCCAATAACCTTATATGCCCTCCACCTCCACTCTCCCCTTGGGAATCTCTCTGTTTCTAGAACTGCCATCCTCCCACCAAGGGAGGCTCCTGCTGCTCACTAGGCCATGGTCATCAAAGGCCCCTGCACAGAAGTCCTGGTACAGGTCAGGGTCCAGTGGTAGGTCTTCATCAGAAAGTGGCTCAGGTGTGGCTGTAGCCTCAGGTGGCTCCTTAACTGCTGATGATGCCACTGCCCCCTCATCTTCACGGATGCGCCCCAGCTTCTGTGATGGCTGTGGCGGCTGTTGAGTGGGTGGTGGCCGTCGGGGCCTTGGCAGGGACTCTGAAGGCGTCACCGGCGAGAGCTGCAGGGCAGAATCTCAGGACTGGCCCTGACCGCCCTGCCCGCATGCCCTGCCCCGCCCTGGGGGGCTGGACTCACCGAGGAAGGGAAGTACTTGTACGATTCCTGTGCCGGCAGGAGGAAGGCCCAGGTCAGCCCCAGGTAGACAGAGGGTGGCCCTGCCCTAACCCTCCCCCACTAGCCTTGCTTTGCCTCCCCAGACATATCTGCCACCATTTCTCTCACCACCAGAACAGGCTTAGCCCTGCCTATTGTACTCTGACATGCCTGACCACCTGCCAACACTTGGCCCCCCCTACCCACCAAAATCTGGTGGGGTTCACTTGCCAGCCCAGCATACCTGTTCATGCAGCATTCATGTGGACATGCTAGGACCTTTCCCACATGTCTGGGTACAATCGGGCTCCATCCCATCTGGTCCCCAATTCCTAGCCTCAAACAGCCCTGCCTGTACCTCCCAGTCATGCACCCCCACTTGACCCTGTCCAGCTCTGTCCATGCTCACCCGGGCCCGCAGCTGGCACTGGCGCAGCCGGCACTTCTGCCGGATTTTGTTGGGCCCCCCAAACTTTTTCATGTCTCGGCAGAAGTCACAGTGGCCACAGTCCTCAGTGCGCCGGCATGCTTCACACTCCCCGCACATTCGAGCTGACCTTTTGATCTGCTGCTGCTGCTGGTGATGCTAGGAGACAGTGCCCAGAATAGAAATCAGGAACCTAGAAACAGCCATGATGGAACCACTGTGCCCATCCTAACCACTACAGCCACTCACCTGGCTGGGTGTGGCCACCAAGGGCTGTGGAGAAGATTTATGGGGCGAAGCAGAGCCCCGAGCAAGCATGGCCCCAACCCCTGTCCCGGACCCTGCCCGGCGCTGCAGGTCTGGATCTGGGACAGGTCTCTTGCGCCCTCCACCCTCATCCCGGGGCTCACTGCCGTCCCGTTCATTGCCATCCCGCTCTCGAGACTTTTTGTGCCGATAGCGAATCTCCAGCTTAGGGTCCTTCTCTGTGGGACAGAAGGTTGGGCCAAGATGGGTTAACAAGGAGTTAATCCTCTTTCTAGAACCATCCAATGTACCTGCTCTGCCCTCCTGCTTGAGGGCAGAGCTGCCCCTTCCTGTGGAATCCTCTATGACTGCTCTCAATGAAGCCTGCATCCCAGCTCAGCACAGACCAAGAGT